TTAGGCTGTTTACGACTCCCTATGCCTGCACAGCTGAAGAGGTCAGAGACTTGATCTCTCCGCGCCCGCCGCCATGTTGGAGTCCCCACATTTCCGCTACATTTATTTATAACAATAGGTTACATTAGGTCATTAGTACCATAACCACACTATTGTTTAGAGTATCAGTAAGTTTGCTTATTCTACAATTACACTTAATAGTTCCAATATGCAAAATTAGGAGCTTTGGGCAGTTCTCAAGAAGGTCCATTGTATGAAGTTACTGTTAGGCGACCAGCTCCAGGAGTTACGTGCCTAAGATTAAGGTCAAAGCTGAAAAGATTCTAGCATGGAAGGCATTACCATAGCAACTGGGCATCCTATGCCTTTGCACAGAAACTCCAGGCACCAAGCATGCCACAGCCATGAAGTCATCAGGGACCCCAGTCCCAAACGACAGAACCCCTACAAAAGTTGGCATTATAAAATTCCTTTCATGAGCATTTACCCTCAATTGCATTGATGGTGGCAGGAATGCACCATTTAATGTAAATTATAGTCTTTTGCAATATTTATAAATCGGATCTCATAAATTACTGTATTGTTTTGCATGTTTTGAAAGCAACCAAAGTTTTGTTTCCATTGTGTTACCCCCAAAATTGTAAACCTGACATTTTGTGTATTCCCATCCAAAGGGACTCTCTCAATTAGCTACTAACTTATCCAGTTTGCCATCTTTCATTTCCCAAGGCTACAAAAGTGTTCTCGTGTTAGGGCCACAGGCCACATCATATCAAACATTATTTTTTTCATATGATAACTCATCTTCAGTTGAGAAATTCCAAACATTGTCTATCTGTCTTCATGACAGATAGACAATCTGTAAAATACCATATAATCAGACAATATTTTTTAAAAATTAAACATATATATAAAAATATTAAAACACAATATCTTTCATATAAGGAGGAAAATTCCAAGCTTAAAAAAAAGGGTAAAAGGATTAAAGGGACAGAATGACAGTAATAGGATTCAGCAGTTACATATAAATCACAGATTTTGTGTTATCATTTAAGTAGCTGGGATCATATATTACTTATCACAAAGTTAAATGTGAGAAGTATTTTGTATCGTCTTCATCCTAATTAGGAATTAAGATCTGTGGCTGTTGGAACACAGTAAAGACAAATCTAGTCTCAATTCTTTTCTGGAAATATCATTTCAAAAGAGAATGGGATAAAAAATATTTCTGTTTCTCAACGACTACTATACAGACACTGTATCTACATGCGTTCAAGAGATGTTACTTGCATGATGTGTGAGAACATACTTTCAGTTATGAGTGATATGGAGTTTATTCATAGAAAAGAAGTATGGTGAAATTCATCATTTCAGGTACATTTATTATGTAAGGCTGCTAGAAACATGAAGCCCACATGGCAAAATATTTACTATTACATAGTGGGAAATATTTGTAGCTTCTGCAATATAAATATGTGTGATCACAGAAGATCTTATGACATCAATTTTACAATTCAAGTAATGGGATTTAGATATTAGAAAACCATTCTAGATCCTTGTTTCATTTTTCATTTTATAGAGCTAAGTTTAAAATGAGTAAAAATGTAGGCAGTCTATAATATAAGAATAGATAGTTTTCGATGAGTACAGCATTTCTAGAATAACAAAAATATAATTAGAGTAAGGAGGATATGACCCAACTATTGATATGCTTCTGTCTTTAATATTTGTTGTGGGAAGTCACCAGAGAAAGAAGAAAGAAAATACAGATAATGCCTTATTTTTTTCAAACATTTAATAAATTTGTTATTTGTAAAACAATAAATTGTATTCTAAACCTAAAAATTTAGAAAGACTACATTAGCAATCAATATACATATAAAAGTACTCCATTGTGTCACAGGGCTGAATATTGAGTAAATAGCATTCAATGTATACATGTATGACTCTCCTCAGAAAGATGGATTGGTCTTAGTTTTTCCTTAGTCAAAGTCTTACAAATTCCAAATTAATAAATTTTATTGTGTTTCAGAACTGCCAAAACTAAAGTGTTGATTTATTTAGGCATTTGTTTGCTATTTATATATGTATAGGGGGTAAGTCATGGAGGTACTGGTGCTTTTGTTTCTGAAGATTAAACCAACAATGTACTGTTAGTAGTAGGGTGTGCAAAATTATCTTTTGGTTCTAGTCTAAATTTAAATTACAGCTTTTTTAATGTACTCTTTTGAGAATATGGGATAAAGACACTAAGACTTTAAATCAAGGTGGTTGTTTTTGCTGAAGATTATTTAATGATAATCAAGAAGTTCATTTACATAGTCTGAGAGATAATTTTAAAATTCCATGTTCTGACCCTTTCTTTCTTGAAGAAAATTGGTGTATAATTTCTGGATAATTCAAAGAGAAGTTACAACCTTTCCAGATAATTTTGGAACAAACAGTTCTGCTTATCAAACTTCTAAATTAATCTTTCTAAATTCACTTGTTTCTAAAACAGGCCTTAAGCCAAAATCTGAAACCCAGGGGACTATCAAGAACCACACAACCTAGTCCAAGAAGGGTTTCAAAGTGTCTTAGAATTGTTTTTCACCTTATAGGAAACAATACAATTATATCAGGACAAGTCCACACTTTACAAGGTAAACTTAAAGTTTGTCTTGAAGGTAGATAATGGCTATTCTCAGCTGATATCATTATCACCTACTCCTTACTATATATAACAGAAACTGGAGAATAAGAAGTTCATAGCCATAAAAATAACCATCAACCTATTGATATAAAAACAGAGATTGGAGAGTTTTTTTAAAAGTTTCTAAGAAAAAGTTTTTTGGTACCTGGGATTGAACCTAGGGATACTGAGCTACATACCAATCCCTTTTTATTTTTTATTTTGAAACAGGATATCCCTAAGTTGATGAGGTTGGCCTTGAACTTACAATACTTCTGACTCATATCCATGAACTACTTGCTTGGCTATACTGCTATGTGGTGCAGACATCCCTCCAACCCTCCAAAAACTTTCTGAGCCTACTTCTTCCTCCCAATAGTTATCTCTCTTTTCTCTATCCCTCCTTCCTGTGTGCTTCCCTTCTCTGCCACCTCCTTTGACTTTTGTCATTCTCTCATCTCTTTCTACTTTTCACCTTCTCTTCCCTTCTCTCCCCTTCTTTCCCCCTTCCTTCTTCTGCCCTTCTTTCCAGCCCCTTCCATTTCTCTCTCTCTCTCTGCTGCAAAGGTGGTGCCAGCCGCTCACCTTCATGCTTCAGGCTGGGCCTCTTGTCCCCAGGTCGGCATTCTTGGGAAGGCCTCATGCTGAAGTCCACACAAGATGGGCTGGATGGATTCCAGGAATTCCATGGCAGGTGAGGAGGCTGAGCCACAACAAAGAGACTCCGCACCTCTGCATTCTCAGGACCGCCGTTGTGGCTGGAGCAAACAGAGGACATGAGGTTACAAGGGATTCTGGCCCTGGACAAGTATGGGATTGGATGGGCAGAGAAGCC